CATCTTGGAAAGTCAGCCTTTGGCTGCTGTTGTCACCCAGGATTGACAATGACCAGGGAATTCATCCTTCTGTCTTAGTCTGTGAATAGGATGAAAAATCAATTATACATAGGTTGTTGCAATATTTTTTGTACGTTAAAACACTTTCCTCAAGTAAAGGAATTTAATACCTTATAAAAAGCAGACAGACATTTCATTACTTTTGGAAATGTGATTAAATCCATGACTAATGTTTCAAAGTGTAACCTGCAAACCTGCAAAGCTGTGGCTAAAAATGTGAAATCTACATACAATGTAACTGACATGTAGACATACTGTATAGTGGAACATCACGTTTAGTGTAATAGGCAAAAACTCCTATACATAAGGGACAAGAAATACAATGATTGCGGATAGAAATTAATCATGGTGACAAACTGTAAAAACAGTGTCTATGAAAATACATAATTCATATGTATTTTCCACAATGTTTTGGAAGTTAACTAACCTCTTATGACGATATGCCTTTTTAAGGTTACCATGCGGTTTGATCCAATGATATAATCGGCCAATGGATAGGTGTCTGTGAGTTCACTGAGTGCCACAAGCTTTATTTCTCTTCATGGTGACAAATTTAATTCAAAGGCTCTGTAGTGTGCATTGTACCATCCACACAACACTTTCACAATAAGGAACAACTCCCCATTTAGAACACAAATCTGAATGATTTCAGCAAACTCTGGCAATCCACTTGTGGATCCATGGGCTACTATCATACCTCTGCTGTAAGCTACACCACTACTTGATGCTTTGTTGGCAAGATGCACTGTAGATGTGTTGGGGTATTTTGACCTAACAGCCTGAACCACTTCCTCTTTCAGTACATCTAGGGGCACTGTGGACACATTAGATACATCAAGGGTAGATTTACCATAGGATGGTGAGTTTATGTGGAAAGCAATCATAAACTGATGTTTTGAGGCCAAAGTCAGAGGTACATTCCTAAAGCAACTTGTGTGCTTTATAATCTGCTTAAAGAAACTATGTAATCCTTCTCCTTGCCACGACTAATCAGAGTAATTACTGTGTTACTGTCTGTGGTCCGTGGAGCAGAGTGTTACTAGCTTACCTTGGATAATTCAGCATTTGTTAATTTAATAAACAGCAAAAATTAACGTCAGTTACTCCCAACGTAAATACATTAGGGAAAGTCGGAAATACTTTTCAGGTGTTTGGGATCGGGAATAACCTACAGCATCATTTTCAGAAATACACTTTATCTTTAAAGTGTCCTGCTGCACCTGCATGTACAGATGTCTGGGGCTTCAGTAAAAATATGTAGGATGTGAAATTTAATTTTAACACAATGAAATAGTAAAAAGTGTTTGTATGTGGGGGAGGATTATGTATACGAACAAAAATGCCCTGTTATTTTTACAGCTCGGGGACCATTTCTCAGATCCCCACAAACATCTGTGAATGCAATCAAAAAACTAAACATGCCAAAAGTCTCATATTTTGTTTGGTAGCTTATGGTTAAGGTTAGGGCTGGGTAGGGGTTAAGGTCGTCATGTTGGGATTAATGTTGTGTGTTTTAATCCTCCTACCACACTGGTCAGGATCATGTTGAGAATTAGTGCATTTTCCTCTCATTTTTCTTCAGGGGAGCTCATGTTGAGCACAATCAAAAGTAACCTGAAGCAGAAATGTCAGTGTGCATTTGAAGGGAAAGCTAAGGAAGGACAGCCAACACTTCTCAGTGAGATTTACACAGAACTCTACATAACTGAAGGTGGGACAGGAGGAGTCAATGGTGAACATGAAGTGAGACAGATTGAAACAGCACCCAAGAAAAGGCAAACAGAAGATACTACAGTCAAGTGCAATGATATATTTAAACCCCTATGTGGGCGTAAGACACCTATCAGAACTGTACTCACTAAAGGGGTGGCAGGTATTGGGAAAACAGTCTCTGTGCAGAAATTTATTCTCGACTGGGCAGAAGGAAAAGCAAACCAGGATGTTCACTTCATACTTGCTCTTCCTTTCCGGGTCCTGAATTTGATTAAGGATGAATACAGTCTGATTGAACTGCTTCACCGCTTTGTCCCAGAACTGAAATCGTTTGAATCCACTGAACTGTTTAGGTACAAAGTCTTGTTCATCTTTGATGGTCTGGATGAGTTTCGCCTTCCTCTAGATTTTCAGAACAATGAGAGCTGGTTTGATGTAACAAAGAAAATGTAACTGGATGTGCTGTTGACTAACCTCATTAAGGGGAATCTATTCCCATCTGCTCTCCTCTGGATAACCTCCCGTCCAGCAGCAGCCAGTCAGATACCTCCAGACTGCATCCACCAGGTGACAGAGATACGAGGGTTCAGTGATGCCCAGAAGGTGGAGTATTTCAGGAGGAGATTCAGTGATGAGAGCCTGGCCATGAGGATTATCACACATGTGAAATCATGAAAGAGCCTCTTCATCATGTGCCACATACCCGTGTTCTGCTGGATTTCAGCCACTGTGCTTAAGAGGCTTTTTAGTGAGACTGACAGAGAAGAAATTCCAAGGACTCTGACTGAAATGTACACACACTTCCTGATCTTTCAGACAAGTTTAAAAAATGAGAAGTATATGAAAAATAATGAAACCAAGCTTAATGAATACAACAAAGAATTCCTTTTAAAACTTGGTAAACTGGCTCTTCTTAACCTTGAAAAAGGCAATCTCATATTTTATGAGCAAGATCTGACAGAGAATGACATTGATTGACTCTGGAGTGTGCACAGAAGTCTTTAAAGAGGAATATGGGTTGTATCAGGATAAGGTGTACTGCTTTGTGCATCTGAGCATCCAGGAGTATCTCGCTGCTTTATATGTGTTTTGTCAAACTCATCAGCTGACCTGCTGAAGACAGCAGTGGATCAGGCATTAGAGAGCGAGAATGGACACTTGGACCTCTACCTCCGCTTCCTGCTGGGCCTCTCAACAGACTCCAGTAAGACTCTGTTACAAAGGCTACTGGGACAGACAGGAACCCGGTTGCATAACATTGAGGAAACAGCCCAACACATCAAGGAGAAACTAGAGGAGGATTTATCTCCAGAAAAGACCATCAACCTGTTCCACTGTCTGATTGAACTGGGTGACAATTCTCTAGTAGAGGAAGTACAAAGATACCTGAATTCAGGAAGCCTTTCAGCAGAAGACCTCTCACCTGTACATTACTCAGCTCTGGCCTTTGTGATGCTGATGTCAGATAAGGAGCTGGATGTGTTTGATCTGAAGAAATACCTTGGATCAGATAAAGAGCACTGGAGGCAGCTGCCTGTGGTCAAGAAGTCCAGGACGGCTCTGTAAGTGACGTGGGGATGGGAAATCATGTCTAGTCTGGTAGTAATACATTAAGGTTATATTAAATATATCTAGTTTATTTCTCCTCGTGGATTAATAACTGGGATGATTTTTGATAATCTGGACCACAGACTTTATAATGACTGAAGGTAGTGATGTAGTAACAAACAAAAAAGTGACGTTTCCGTTCCCATCCAGTCTGCCTTTTGATCACGGGCACAGCATCCTAACCTTTCTGTGTGGCGTTCACATGCTGTTCACGTGGGTTTCTGTTGGGGGCTCTGGTTTCCTCCCAAAAATGTGCAGCTCAGGTTGATTGGTGAGTCTAAATTGGCCCTGTGGTGTGCTGGTTCCTGCCTTCACCCCTTGTTCCCAATATTGGCTCTGGTGATCCCAGTTGGGATTAAGTGGTTGTAGTGATGGATGGATTTAACTGATGAATGGGGATGAATGAAGCATCATTATTCATAAATCGTTCAAACAAACATTTCTGTTGAGAGCCTATTTCACAGGATTGATAGTTTTCTGATTGGTGTATTGTTGATAAAGGCTGGGTAATAAGTAAAAAATGTATATATGTCATTTTAGTTTAAAAATATTGCAATAAATAACAATTTTGAGCCCCCCCCAACACAAAATTCAGTTTCAGTTCAGTTTTATTTGTATAGCATGTTTTCACAGCATTACATTGTCTCAAAGCGCTTTACAGCATCCCTGCCCAAAGCCCCCAGTGAGCAGCCAGAGGCAACAAGGGCAAGCAGGCCGCAAAGACTTCACAGGCAGAAGGGCAAGCAGGCAGGAAGGGCATCACAGACACAAGGGCGAGCAGGCCGGAAGGGCGTCACAGGCAGAGGGGCGAGCAGGCCGGAAGGGCAAGTGTAGCACCGGTATCAAACCACTTACAGCGCCACTGGACCAGTTCTAGGTTCTACGGAGTGGGGAGCAAAAACAATTACACCAGAGACCGTTGGT